TAAATATTTAGTGGTTTTGCGAAACCCTAAAGACGTTTGCGTTTCTCATTATTATTACTACAAAAAACTAAAAAATTTAGACATCACTTTTGAGAGGTATTTCCGGTGGTATATGTCTGGAGGCTATCAATGCGGCGACTACTTTGAGGCCACCCTCTCGTATTGGGAGCACCGGTTGGATGGGAACTGTACTCTCATTACCTATGAAGAGATGGTAGCGAATCCGAGGGACAGTATTGTGAGAATCGCCTCATTCTTAGGCACCAAATACGTGCACCGACTGTACGACCGGTGCGGAGACACCACTACTGATGAGATCCTATTGGATCGCATTATAAGGACTTCCAGTTTTGAAGCCATGAAAAGCAGTCAAACCACAAGTGATGACCATTTCAGGAAAGGTATGGCCGGCGACTGGAGGGCTGTTATGAGTAGAGATGAAAGCGATTTGATTGACCAGAGAGTTAGGGAANTCCAGTTTTGAAGCCATGAAAAGCAGTCAAACCACAAGTGATGACCATTTCAGGAAAGGTATGGCCGGCGACTGGAGGGCTGTTATGAGTAGAGATGAAAGCGATTTGATTGACCAGAGAGTTAGGGAACAGTTCGTGGGAACGGGTTTAGAGTCACTTTGGGAACGGGAACTCAAATGGCATGACTCAACCAAGTAGTCAATTCAGTTGTTATGCACTTATTTTTATTAAATCCAAATTGAAGTTTATACATTGTAAATTAAATATTAAATTTTCTAAAAATTAAATAACATTTAATTCAGTTGTGTTTAAATTAAAATAATTTTTTCCAAAATATAAGTCCCATACAGTATTATAAGGGATAATGATGGGATTATCAAGGTTGATCTTTACAAAGGTCATGGGTTTAGGTTGAATATAAAGGTCAGGATCAGGTCAAATTGGTTAACGAGTGTACTTTCATAGCATTAATAAGGTTAGTTTGTAAAAGGCAAGTTGATAATAATGCTCAGATTGAACATTAAGATAGATATTACTGTAGATATAGTGTAGTATAAAAAGTGTTTCAATTGTTTTACGAACATTAGTTTTGCAATTAATGTGAAATCATAAAATGATTAGCAAAATTTAGATCCTGTTCAGATTTAAATGAAAGACTTAAAATTGGCAAATAATTAAATTTCATGATTTGACGTGTAATGATACAGGTGCGTGATCATAGAAAATCAATATAAAACTAACTGTCATCCAGGTTTGTAAAATGCACAAACCTTATTTATAACTTTTAACTATAGTCTCATAACTATTAGACACTTATATAGAAATTATTTTATATTGAAAACTACATCCAAAAATGGCTGTCCGTTCAAAACAGTTACTACAGACCGTGAGGGGACAGGTATTTCCCAAAGATTTAAAGCTGGAAAACATTGAATACGCGATGGACTACGAGCCCAAGGGGTCTGACCGCATATTGCTAACGTACCCCAAATGTGGCACATACTGGACCTCAACGATCGTGCAAACAATTTTGAACCAGGGTAATGCCATCGACATTAAATCAGGTAATCTTGGTCTACGAATTGAATACCACGGCCCCAGTGCAGTGGTATTAGGCGCCACAATGGACAGGGATGTGGTCTACTTCCAGACACACCATAACTTCACAAACTTTGCGTACAACCCATTGGCCAAGTATTTAATGGTTGTCCGCAATCCGAAGGACGTCTGTGTGTCGAGCTATTACTACTTCCAGAAACGGGAGGGTAACACCCAGGCCACTTTGGACAGGTATGTCAAGTATTTTCTCAGAGGAAAGGAGTGCGGTTTTGGCGACTATTTCGAGGCCGTGCGCTCGTATTGGGAGCACCGGTTGGATGGGAACTGTACTCTCGTTACCTATGAGGAGATGGTAGCGAATCCGAGGGACAGTATTGTGAGAATCGCCTCATTCTTGGGCACCAAATACGTGCACCGACTGTACGACCGGTGCGATGGACAGGGATCTACTGATGAGATACTATTGGATCGCGTGTTACGAGTGACCAGTTTTGAGGCCATGAAAGGCACGAATACGGAGAAAGCCTATCACTTCAGGAAAGGCGTGTCCGGCGACTGGAGGGCTCTTATGTCGAGGGATGCGAGCGATTTGATTGACCAGAGAGTTAGGGACGAGTGGTTGGGAACGGGTTTAGACGTGTTGTGGGAACGGGATATGAAATGGTGAACACCAGATGTATATCAAATTATTTAGTCTTATAGAAAGTTTATTACATGAAATATATTAATAATAATGTATTACAATATGCAATAAAATTTGGTTTTAAGATACATGGGTTATATAACATTGTTTTTTGCAAATTTAATTCATTACAGTTAAATGAGTTATAAAAATATGAATAGAGATACAAATATTTGCATTCAAAGGTAATTAATAATTATCAGAGAGTGTATGAAACTATAAAGTCTTCGTGGCTTCAGACAGCAATTCCCGGGCAATGATAATGCGCTGGATTTGAGCGGTTCCCTCATAGATGTGGTATATCTTGGCGTCCCTCAAGAGCTTCTCCACCGGATACTCCTTATTAAAACCGGCGCCGCCGAAGATCTGGACCGCATCTGCGGCCGCTTTATTGGCCACATCTCCCGCCCAACACTTGGCTATAGAGGCCCAGTAGGTGTTCCTCCTGCCGGTGTCGTAGTCCCAACAGGCCCTCTGCACTGCCATACGGGACGTCTCGATACCGATGGCCATATCCGCTAACATGAATTGGATGGCCTGGTGCTCACGGATAGGCACACCAAACGTGTGTCTCTCGAAAGACCATTTGACGGACTCGTCAAACGCCCGCTGAGCCAAACCCACGGCTCCGCAACCGACCGGCGCTCTCGTCAGATCGAACGCACCCATAGCTATACGGAAACCCATACCCTCT